CAAGGAGAAGCGCCGGAGGAGCTCGCCCCGCACCCACCCTGAGCGCGCGATGTGCCCGCGGCGTCGTCGCCGCCGCCCACGGGCGCGCGCGCGCCGGTCGCCCCTCGGCGCCTAGGTTACGCCGCGGACCTCAGAGGGCCGGGAGCGGCGGCTTCGCGCGGACGTACTTCTCGGAGGCCGAGCTCGCGAGGCCGATGGACGCGAGGGCCTGCGTGTCGAGGCTCGCGGCCTGGCTCAGGAGCGAGTTGACGCGGCCGCGGTTCGTCGACGGCACGACGACCTTCTCGCTCTTGAGGGCCCGGCCCTCCATGCGGCCGCCGGCGTTGCGGAAGTCGCCGCCGTGGTTGCCCGGCGGCGGCGCGTAGCCGTCCATCGCGCCCGGCGCGCCCGCGGTGCCCGGCCGCGCGAGCGGCTCGACGATGGCCATGATCTGGGGCGTGTGGGGCCGGCCCGGCTTGGCCGGCGCGCTGCGCATCATCGTCGACCCGAGGGCCGCGGCCTCGGCGGCCGTGCGCGCGTCGGGCGCCGTGCCCGGCCGGTCGTGGGCGCCGCCGGGCAGCGGCATCTTGAAGCCGCCGCGGTAGACGTCGCCGCGGTCGGCGTCGTCGGGGGACCCCGGCCGGCCGCCGGCGGACCCCGGCGGCGTGCCGAGGCGCGGCAGGAGCTTGCGGTGGCCCGCGACGGCCGCGCCCTCGCCGTTCGTCTCGGGCACGTCGCGGCGGCACGTGAGGCACTGCGTCGTCGCCGCGGAGCCGTCGACGCCGTCGCGCTCCGCGAGGGCCTCGGCGACGAGGGCCTCGAGGTGGCGCTTGAGGACCTTGAGGTCGCGGTCCGTCTTCCGGCGGAGGTCGCCGAGGTCGCCGCGGCACCGCGCGAGCGTCTCGTCGAGCTCCGCGGCGAGGCCCCGGGGCGCGTACGCGTCGAGCGCGGCGCGGTCGGCCTTGGCCTCGAGGTCCGCCGCGTGGGCCTGCTTGTCGATCTTGGACTCGGCGAGGCCGTTGAGCTGGCCCGCGAGCCGCGCGAGCTGGAGGCTCAGGTCGTCGACGTCGTCGCGGCTCACGCGGTCCTCGTCCGCGTCGCTCCGCTCGAGCGCGCTCAGCTCCGCCTTGAGCAACAACTCCACGAGGTCCCGCGTCTCGCCCTTGAGGCGCCGCTCGCGGTCGTCGAGGCCCGCGACCGCGGCCTCGGACGCGCGGACGCGCTCGCCGAGGTCGTCCGCGGCGTCGCGCGCGTCGGCGACGGCGCCGCGCGTGGCCGCGTGGTCCTCGACGAGGGCCGCGAGCTCGCCGCGGAGCTTGTCGGCGATCTTCGCCTGCTCGAGGACGTCGTCGCCGTCGGCCTTGTCCTTGCGGAGCCGCGCGACGTCGCCGTCGAGCTTCGCGAGGTACTCGGCGACCTCCGCGCTCACCTCCGCGGGCGCCGCGGCCGCCGGCGCGCCGTCGCCCGACGGCTTGCGCTTGAGCTTCTTGCCCACGTCGTCCCAGGCCCTGGCCGCGAGCGCGTCGAGGTCGGCGAGCGACGCGCGCGCGGCGCCGAACGCGGCCTCGAGGTCCTCGACGAGCTGCTCCTGCTCCTGCCCCACGGCCGCGAGGTCCAGCAGCTCGCGGCCCGACGCCTCGAAGAAGGCGGCGCGCGCCGCGTCCTCGCCCTCGAGGGAGTCGGCGTCCTCGAGCGAGTCGTCGGGCGACGGCGGCGCGTCGAACGCGAGGCTCCCGCGCCGCGCGCCCGCGTTGTTCGCGAACGCCGCGGCGAAGTCGCCGCCGTCCGTGATCGCCGCCTGGAGGTCGCCGTTGACCTCGAGCACGCGGTCCTGGAGCACGGCGAAGTCGGCGCCGTACGCGCCGAGGCGGTCGCGCGCGTCGCGCGCGCCGGCGGCCGCGCGGAGCGCCGCGGCCGCGTCGCGCGACAGCGGGTTCTCGTAGGCCGCCGTCGCCCCGTCGAGGGACGCCTGGAGCTCGTCGGCGGCGTCGCCGACGCGCGAGGCGACGGTCTTGAGGCGGTCGCTCAGGTCCCGCGTCTTCGCCTCGAGCGCGGACGTCCGCCGCCGCTCCGCGCCTGTGCCGAAACCAACCACTGGTTTGGGTGGTCCTGACCAAACTTGAGAATTCTCTAGCTCGGTCAAATCGAAGTCGATTCGGCTGATTTTTGGACGGATCGATCGCTCTCGTCGAGTTCTCGAAGCTCAGCTGAAGAGCTTGTGTCAAAACATTCGAATACGCTCATATTGAAGTCGGGTTGAAGATTTGGTTTCGGCACAGCTCCGCGCCAATGAGCGCGTCCATGACGTCGCCGAGCACCTTCTTCTGCTCCGCGACCATGGCCACGTCCGCGGCGCCGAGCCCGCCCGCAACCTCGCCGCCGCCGCCCGCCGCCGCGGCCGCGGCGAGGCGCTCGCAGTCCGCGCGCGACGCGCAGCCCGCGAGGCCGCGCTCGAGCGCCTCGACGCGCTGCGCGAGCGTCTCGATGAGCTCGTCGCGGACGTTGTCGCTCTCCGTGTTCCCGTCGAGCTCGCGCTTGAGGTCCCGGACCTGGGCGTAGGTCTTCTCCTCCATGCGCTTGAGCCGGTCCGCGATGCTGTGGCCCTTGAGCGCGCGGCTCTTGAGCACGCCGACGGCGTTCGTCTTCTGGCGGTTCGCGCGGATGATCTGGCGGATGCACTTGCGCCAGAGGCGCCGCGCCTCCGTGAGCCGGCCCATGTCGGCGAGGAAGGACGCGTTGCGGTCGCTCCGGCTCGCGGAGAGCGACGCGCGCGCGGACGCGAAGCGGCCCTTGACCTGCGCCCGGGAGCGTCGACGTCGCCGTCGGCGCGCGCGCGCGCGGCCGCCCCGGCGCGCGTGCCCGCCGCGTCCGCGGCGCGCTCGACGAGCGACGCGCGCTCGTCGCACACTTCCGTCGGCCCCGATCGGACCGCGATCGAGCGGCGCGACGCGCGGACGGGCGCGCGCGCGCGGACCGGCGGCGGAGTTCGGCGCGGCCCGGGACGAGCGACGCGCGCTGCTGCGACGCGCGGAGCCGCTTCTCCGCCTCGAGCTTCTCGTCGGCGAGCCGCTGCCGCTCCTTGAGCAGCTCCTTCTCCGCGGCCTCCTTCTCCGCCGCGTCGGCCATGTCCGCCATGAGCCGCGACATCGTGTCCATCTTCAGGAGCCTGAAAGAGTGATTCAACGTCGCTTCAACGTGAGTGTTCCGCGCGCGCGCGTTCCGGGAAAAGCATCCACGCGTCGAGACCGCTCCGAGGGATGATCGCTCGTCCAAGAATCAGCCGAAGCGAGTGGGAAACGGCCGAGAGAGGCGCCGGCGCTTTCCCGCGCGGGCCGCGCGCATCGTCTTGTGCTTCTCCTCCGCCGCGAGGCGCTCGGACTCGTACTTGGCCTCGAGGGCCTCGATCTCCGCGGCGCGCCGCTTCGCCTCCTCCTCCTCGAGGAAGAGCCGCGCGTCCGCGGCCGCGGCCGCGGCCGCGCGGCGGTCCGCGGCCGCCGCGAGCCGCGCGGCCTTCTCCTCCTCGGACTCGAGGGGCTCCGGCGGCGGCGCCTCGACCTCCTCGACGAGCGGCTCCTCCTCGGGCTGCTCCTCCGTGAAGCCCTGGACGTTCTGGGCCAGGTTCGTCAGCGCGCCCTCGAGCTCGCGGAGGCGCTCGCGGAGGCCCTCGAGCTCGAGGTGGTCCTTGCCGCCCGCGCCGCTCGCGACCATGGCCGCGTGGACGTCGCCGCGCATGGCCTCCATGGACCCGGCCTGGGACCGGATCGACGACGACAGGGCCACGAGGCAGCTCTTGGTCGTGTCCGCGTCGAGGAAGTTGAAACTCAGGCCCAGGCCCGCGCCGCCGATGCTCAGGTTCTGCGCCGGCTTCGACTCGCAGAGCCGCCGCACGGCGTCGCTGTCCGCCGCCGCGTCGCCCGTCGTCTCGAGCTGCGGCTCGTAGGCGCCGCCGCCGTCGTCGTCCGCCATGGCGCGCCGCGCCGGGGAGCCCTCCCAGCCCCGCGGCGCTGGGCGAAAAAGATTAGTAACTTCAATTTTGGCATCGTTCGCGGGGCAGCCCCCCCGGGGCCCGGGCAGCCCTGGGCCGCGAAGCCAAATCATGGCGCAGGGCGGCGCCATCGTCGCCGCGGCCCTCGACGCGCCCGTGTCCATCGTGCGGCGGGCGCCGCGGCGCGGCGGCGCGGGCGGCGCCGCGCCGAGCGCGTCGCGGGCCCTCGCGAGCCGCTATGCCGTGCCCGTGTCCAGCTCGTTGCGGGCGACGCGGGCCTGCTGGAAGGGCGGCCGCGGCGAGCCCCTCGAGGACGCGGTGTCCCGCGGCGCGTCCGCCGGCGCCGAGCCGCGCCGGGCCCTCGCCGCCGCGCCCGGCGGCGGCGCGGCGGCGCCGCCGCCGCCGCGCCGCGGCTCGCTCCTCGCCGCGGGCGCCGCCGCGCGCGCCGAGCTCGCGCGCCGCGCGCGGGGCCGCGCGGCGGCGGCCGTCGTGCGGCGCGAGCGCCTCGCGCGGCGCGAGGCGGCCGACGCCGCCGCGTCGCGCGCCGCGGCCC